GAGCAAAGAACAAGCCCTTCTCAAAGGTTCAGCAGATGAAGTCAGGTTTCCGCTGTAGTAGTGGCTGTAGCAGTGACTGAGTAAATGAGACCTGTAGATTCACTTCTCTGTGACAGCTTCATTACCTGGAAAACAAGGAAGCTGATAACAGAAACAGCCTCATCGTGCTGTCATGATGATAGATACATGTAAAGATGTTACACGATATTTAGGTCAGGTTTTAGGAGACTCTTTTATCCCAGAACTTGGGAGACAGAGTCAGGTAGATCTCTGTGAGTTCAAAGCCAGCCTGGTCTACAAAGTGAGTCCAGGACAGCCAGGGTTAATATTACACAGAGAAACCCTATCTCAAAAAAAACAAAACAAAGAAACAACAACAACGACAAAAACCCCTGGCTCTCAATAAATATCAGTGAAGAGATGAACAGACAAGGAACAAATAACTCAGTAAAAAAATTAAAATAAATCCTGATCCAGGCATTGTGGCTCATGCTTACAATCCCAGCACAGGAAAATCAATTCAAACCCAGCCTCATCTATGTGCACATTCACACATACACACACACACACACACACACACACACATACACTATACTGTATATTGTGTGTATATATTGCTTATTTATTAGATTAGATGGTAGGTACCTTGTACACCACTGAAGTATATCTCTAGCCCTCTTCCAACTTTTTTATTTGAGGCAAGTTCACACTAAGTTGCCCGGAGAGACCTGGGACTCATTCTGTAGGTCAGACAAGCCACGAAATTTTCATCTCCTGAAAATGTGTCCTATTGTAATACGTGAAATAGAGAAAGGGAAGTTTGGGAGAGGGAGAGGGAAGCTACGCACGGGATGGAAAGGGGAGGCCGTGCATGTAAGGAGCCAGCCACGAAGTTACCCAGCAGAAGGGAACTCCAGGTAGAACTGCAGAAGCAAAAGCGAAGAGCCAGAGACAGAACTGCGAGTCAGGAAGAGGAGAACATGGGTCTTTAACCCCTTATCCAAAAGTCAGAAATCCAAAAACCCTTGATGAGTAAAGTCATCATTCTTCCTGGCCTTCCACCTCCTGAATTCCCATTTCCTTCAGATTAGGAGCCCTGGCTGACTCAGCCTGGCTCATCTCCAAACCAACCATCTATGTGATCCAGGGGTGCCAAGTGCCTAGACCCTATCAGTTCTGCTACTGTTGACCTTCTGTTGAGGTCCTTATCCCACTTATCTTGGGCCCTCAAACCCCTGAAGTCCTGTGGCCACATGCTTGAAAGCTAAGTCTCCTGCCTTCCATCAAGTAAAAACTGAATACTCCTTTGAATTTCAAAAGGACATTGGCTCTTACACTGACATCTGAGAGGCTGAGTTTGTTCATTTTCTATTACTAACAAGAAAATAAACTGAGTATAAAGCATCCTGGGTATGGTAGGATGAATAAGGACAAAAAAAGAATGCATGAGGAAAAAGAGGACAGGATTAAACTGTAAAAATAAAAATATAAAGATTGAGAAAAACTCAACAGGCCTTTCTCCCTACAAGTATTTGTGAACACAGGAAGGGGAACCTTCACTGTGTTAACTTTTCCGTGTTTGTTCATCTGCGTATCTTAAGAGGGTTTTGTTTTTTGGTAATGGTAATCTCCCCTCTCAAAACTACACTGTGAAGCTGGCTGCGGGGTGCAAGCAGTAATCCCAGCACTCGGGAGGCAGAGGCAGGCAGATTTCTGTGAGTTGGAGACCAGCCTGGTCTACAAATCAAGTCCAGGACAGCCAAGGCTACACAGAGAAACCCTGTCTTAAAAATAAATAAATGAATTAAAACAGTGAATAAACTTCCCATGACGGAGAGCAGCCCTCTTAGGTTTTCATCTGGAAAATCACCCTAAATTATCCATGACCTCCTCCTTCTCCTAGAAAAGAAAAAGGAAGATAAGTGCTATGCAGGAAAGCCATCTGCAGCCTTGAAAACCTCACACTGGCCACCGGAAGCTCCAAAGTCATGATCCTCTGCAGACAGGAAACACCAGCTCCAAGCTGTCCTTCCCACAGCTCAGTCTGGAGAGATTTGTGTGTGTCCAACTTGTGAAGATTCGGGCTGCAGCTGAGAATCCTGGGCTTTCTGACTATGGCATTCACTAGATTTCAGGTAAGGTGGCCTTCTCCCAAGCATGGTCTCTAAAGGGCCGGAGGCGAGAATTCAGGTCCCAAACAGACATCCCTGAAACTGCTGTTCTGTGGACCTTGAAGTTCTGATGAGGAATCTGACAAGTGCTTTGTATTTAGATTAACGATACCAATAGATAGATAGATAGATAGATAGATAGATAGATAGATAGATAGATAGACAGACAGATAGATAGATAGACAGACAGATAATCAAGGAACAAACTTAATAGCAGTCAATTACAGAGTCCAGCTGGGGGTTCAAAAAACCCCAATGAATGAAAAAAGTAAAGGTTAGTTGGTGTACAATTTATTTATTATTTATTTATTTTTGGTGTGTGATTATTTTGACCACAAGATAACAACCTTCTCTCCATATGGTGGCATCCAGGGTGGCTGGTATTCCATATTCTGTCCTGTGAGCGATATATATTCCTGTGAGCGATATATATTACCCTCCATTCAGAGTCCCAGGGTCACAAATTATTCAAGAGAAATAATTTCTACAAAGTAGGAATTTTGGTGTCTCTCATTTCTAGTTAAGGGCACTTCCCCCAAACAAAAGTGAGTTGTCACTTTCTTGAATCCTTGTCCTGTCCACATTTCAACCATTTCAACCAAGCTGAATATTCACAGCGATAAAACCACAAGTGAAAGAGCTTGTCAGAAATGTTGAAAGAGAATAGGTACTTTCACTATCAGTGATGGTTTCCTCTTTTCCCACAAGATGTCTTATCAGTGTTCACCCCGAGAAAAACCATAAAAGAAAAAAAGAAATCTTACGCAATGGTCGTCAAATAAAATAGTACGCAACAGGCCAGTCATCCTTAAAAGTGATGTTGTGTAAAGAGTCAAAGTACATCATCCAGCAAAATCGATACCCTATTAAGTTAGGTAGGATTCTGGATATCAAAGAGCAATGAACTGAATAGCTTAAAGCATAAGTACACGACCTAGGGGATTAATCACACACTGTCACGGTGAAATTAGGACAATTCTTCCAATCATTAACGTTCTGCTTACAAGACTGTGCTTTTCTGTTTGTCTTTCTGCTAAATGATAACCGTTTTTCAAGTTGAATCTCCTGATAAAAAGAGTTAAAAACAAGAGAGGAGCTGTGCTGTAAAGGTCATACTAGTCGCTTCAACATGAAATAGCCAAAGCGCAAACAAACGAAAAATGTCTGGATTGCAGGAAGAGTTTGTAAATAACCACTGGCAGTCTACAACAGAATGCTTTGTTCAAGTTAATGCTCACCGGAGTCCTGAGAAAGCCACACAGGCAACACGCTCGGTTCTTAAGGACACGTTGAGAGTCACAGCATGAGCAACTTGGCGGGAACCCAGGCTAGCTTCCAACTGGAAAACGGCACGCTTTCAGCGAACAGTCTACTTTAAAGCAAGGTTTTGCCCCTTAGCTTTTCTACTGTCGATCAATACAGAAGCTGCTGCCCCTCTGGCTAACAGTCATGATTCAGTCCCTCCTGAAAGTAAACATTACCCAGAGGTTATCGCCAGTAACGAAACACGGAGATTTCAGGATCGTTTTAATTCCATACGGATGCCTCATTCCCCAAAACGTGGATACAAACAGTCCCACTCTCAGACCAGACTGATGGTGGCCTTTGAAGCTTCTATGTATCCTGTTAGGCCGGTCTGGAGCTTGAAGCCTGCCGCTGATTGGAAGCAAAACTCTCCCACTGGACAACACGTCTCCTTTGGGATGTGAGAAGATAGACAAAGGTAGAGCATGAACTGAGCTGGGACTGGGGGACCAGGGAGGGGTCACGCAGGTCAACTGGGCCATTCTCTTGGAATTCTGAGACCAAGAACTAGAATTCCAAAGCAGATCTTTAAACTTCCAGGCCTACCCTTGCCCCTCTGCGTCAGACCAATGTTAGTATTTTCCGGAAACCTGCAATTCCACGGCCTTCTTGGACTCTAAGGAGGATGTGAGGACCTGTCTTAGCCTGGATGTCGGTGTGTGGGGGAATCAAAGTGTACCTTGAACAGATTCTGTCCTGGGCTCTTTACTGTACAACTAAAGGTTTCCATGCAGGTCAAGGCTAAAAACACTTTCTAGGCCTCTCCTCAAGAGGTCTCTGCAGAGGGCTGCTGGATGGACCTGGGCTCTGCCAGACAGGTAGCTGGCTCCGCCTCATTATCAGCATTCTTCCTCCCTCTTCCCACAGTAAGCCTCTGGGACCCTACCTGCCTTCTCAGCCATCAAATTCCTGACACTCCTGATTCCTGCTTCTGCTATGAGGCAGAGTGCTGGTCCCATGGGCCTCTCTCACACCTCTGGCACCTCGGAGCAGCAGCCCTCAAATTCTCTGGGCCACGAGCCTTAACGTTCCCAGATCTTCCAAATCAGCAACTGGAACCTGAGCTCCGGTTCTTCAGACACTCCCAACCCTGCCTTGCTCGGCACAGAGCACAGCAGCCGGCCTTCCAGCCGGGGTAAGGGTGACGCTCTGTTGATTCACGCCGGTCAAGGACGGTGGCAGCGCATACCAATCGATGATGCTCAGTCGCTCCAAACTACCCTGCTGGGTCCCCAACACACACACACACACACACACACCTGCCCTAGCAAACAGTCCTAGGGAAGCTCAAATTCATACTCTAGGAGCTGGGCATCCCACCTCCCCCAAGGGCCAGCCCACCAGGTCCCAAGCCTGTGACAAGCGAGCATGCGCACGCTCGTCCTTCCCCACCCCCCAGGCTCTTCAAGTATCCTGTTTAGATTTTTTTTTTTAACCAAAGAATAAGAATTCCAACAGGGACACTCAGCCCACTGTGAATGCATACGCAGGTTAACTCATTAAATTAAAAAAGAAAATCAAACATCATTTTGGCAGGATTTTTACAGTGACTAATTCTATATACAGGCTATAGACATCATTTCTACAAAACATACAATCTCCAATCCACTTACATTTAATTGTCCTGATGTTTCTAATTCACATGGGATTGGTCAAATGAGTCGATTTCCCTGCTTGTGGGGACCGGGGTCAGAGACAACCATAAAGCAAAACAGGATTTTAAGAATCTTATCAACTATCTTGCTTACAAGAACAAACCCCAGGAGCCAAGTACTCTGAAACGGCTTTGGAGTTAAGGCAGCAATTTAAGATGTCACGTAAAAACCAAGTGTGCTCTTCTAAAATGTTCCAAGGAGCCTCAAATGCAGGGGCCCTTTCTATGTACACCTCTGAAGTCCAGGGAATAGCTACAGATTTAAGAAAAGTCATTCAAGGATGGCCTATTAAAACCTTTAAAGTTATAATTTAAGCTTTAAACAAAAATTCAAATTACTTCTCATAAATAGAAATAATTCACTTTTTAAAAATGAGGATACATTTAGTCACTTCAAAACAGGTATATACATCATGTTAAATCAAAAGTAAGGTTTCAAGGCATGTTTGCTAATCAGCCAGTGCTCCAAGGAGTTTCAGAACACTAGAAGAACGATTTCTCTCTTTCTCGCTTAGAATTTTCCAGTTTGTCTGTAGCAAAACATTATTGGAAAGTCCAGTCCCTGAGCGTGCCAGGGACCATCATCCAGCATTGAAGTAGCCTTTGTCACCCTCAATGTCCACTTCCTGGTCAGAATCCTCTGAAATCTCAGAGTCGGGGTCTTCCTGGGAGGCTGGGGAGGGTGAACACTGAGAACTATCCAAAGAAGCACCTTTTTTCTGTTCACTGGGCAAGTCTTGGCCCTGGTCACAGGAAGTGTCCAAATTGTCCAACTCGTCCTTTTTATTGCTTTGAGGGTTCTCCTAAATAAGGGGATGAAAATGCAGATGGTAAGATCAAAGACATATAATCCGAATGTTTTTTTTTTTCCAGCCTTTAGCAGGCTTACAAAGTTTAGTTCAGCAACTGTTTTCATTAAAATCTTTTTACCAAGGTATACTTGCGATTGGCTTCCCCATGTGAAAGAAGAGGGGGAAAGTCACACCACTGAGAGATTACACACTTAAGGCAAACCCACAGTCTCAAGATTTGCAGAAGTTTAGGAGAAAACAAAACAGACAACTCAGTTCAGTTCAGACAGCACAGTACTCATTCTTTGGATAGTGTCCAAAACAGGGTCTTCTAGCATTTTAAAAGAACAAACGTTGATGGCTAGATTTGTTATACCAAGGCCTAGCCCCCTAAAAAAGAAGGAATATGAAAAATGTATACTAAATTAAGATGCTGCAAAATGATTAAGTTGAATCCTTTTCCATTTGTTTTCTCAAATAAATTTATGAGCGCACACACACCCATAAATATGTACCAAATGACAAAATTGTGCCGAAAGAAATCATAAATCTAACCTAATATCGATGAAGAAATTGCAATTTACTTAAAATCTGGACAATTTTTTGGGGGGGAAAAATTTCCCATCTTACAGAGAAAGTACTATTTTAAAAGTCATTGGGAAGCTAGCTGCAAGCCAAGTCCAGTCAGTGAATTTATCTTAAGCCTGTGGATGTCTATGATATAAACATAATAAAGGAAAACTGTTACCAAATTTGCAAAAGACGTACAAGGTTAGTGCCAGAAGGGAATCCTCAAATATTTCAGAATAAAGAAAGTACATAAGTTTTTGTTGCTGTTTCAAAATGTTCTTTGGGACAGTACTTTAAGAAACAAACAAACAAACAAACAAAAAAAAAAAACTGTGAGCAATACAACTTACAATCTACATTCAATTGTTTTGTCTCAAACCTGTCCTTTACAGCACTGCCAGCTGAACCATTCAGCAATCGTCAGATAATTCTGGAAACATCCAGATTGGGACATCAAAACCAAATCATTAGCTCTAAGTCAATAAGGTTGTTTTGGAGGATGAGCTGGCCCTTCCTTTTTATCACTGAAAGGTCACTGAAAGACTGTGAGGAAGTTTAAGCTACTTTCCAAATAGGCATGGAAATTTATGTGTTTCATATTCATTTTAAGAGGTGGATAATAATTTTTAAAACTCTTTGATATTTAATTCTTCCTTTTTAAAAAGTGCAAATAAGACTTAAAGGTGTTTGTGTCTTTGTATTTACCCTTGAGTCCTGCCTGGTTTTATTATGGGTGTGTAAATACAAGAAACAATTTTCTCCCAAAGATAACTGCTTAAGTCATTTACTGTCAATTACTTTATCTTTCCTGCGTTAATGAGATAAACAACATATGGGGTTTATAAAACAATTAGCCAGGCGGTTTACTGGCCAGTGTGTGAAACCCTGGCATAATTGATATAGGAGCTGCATTAGGTGCTTTTAACATTAGTGCCACCTGAGCAACTCATCCTGAATTTCAGCAGGAGTATTTGCCTTTTTAATCAAGGTGAAGAGGTTAAATAGCCTCTCAAATGACTTTTGCATACAACCCGTAACAGGTCCCCGCATTTAGATAACATGATACAAACATTTATTTCCATAGAAACAGGGCCGTGTCAATACCTGTTTCAGTCTTCTCCATTTAGCTCGTCGATTCTGAAACCAGGTTTTAACCTACAGAAAAGAAAGTAAGTTTGCAGAAAGTCCCAAATCCAGCGGGACCTGAGGAGAAGGGATTGATTAAGACCACGGGGAGGACCAGCCCTGCAGCTGGGTCCCGGCAGAAAGTGCCCAGGGCGCACAGCGGCTTTCCCGATTGCTTCAGCCCAACTAGCCAACCGGGTTGGGGGGTGGGGATAGGGACGACGGATGGAGAGAGGGCAGTGAGCTGACCTGTCTCTCGCTAAGCTGCAACATCTTGGCCAGACGCTTCCTCTCCGGTGGGGAGAGGTATTTCTGAGTCTCGAACTTCTTCTCCAGCTCGATGGTCTGGTCGTTGGAGAACCTCACTTGACCGCCTTTCCTTTTGTGCAGAGGCCGCTGTAGGAAGGGGTTCCAGAGCAGGGGCTTGCCTGTGGGCCGGAGGAGCGGCGGTTAATCACGGCCCTGGAACCCGCTGGGCAGTCCCCCGACCTACCTGGTCCCAGCTGACTCAATGCGGGAGGCCAGTAAGCGGCCACGTCCCCAACACATACATTCTCGGGTCTATGGATGGATTCAACACTCCCCGCCAGGGCACACAGAGTCAACTAAAGTGTTTTAGCACACAGACCACCTCTGGATACTCAGGACACCGTACCACACGCCCACCACACCTGTGGCTAAAGGCAAACAAATCGTTTCAACCCCTAAAGAACCCCTGCCGGGCTTAAAAGCCCATTTTCTTTAGCCAACCGGCTCAGCTACAGTGCAACAATTTTTGCAAAGGATTCAGTGTGCGCATTTAAGGGAGGCGCGGGGTAGTTCGCTGCCCAAGGCCTGGCGGCCCAGAAGCGCTCACAGGGCGTGTTAGGCCTCGAGAGGGGCCTGCAATCGTGGCTGGAACGCGCCTCGGCCTCCTCTGATTTCACACTCGGCCTGCGGGGGCGGCCAGTTAAAGCCACCCCGTGGGCTATGGCAACATTTCCGTCAATGTGTTTCCTGTTGGTCTGTCTCAAAAAAAAAAAAAAAAAAAAAAAAGTTTGCTTCCTTCTGCTCAGGCCCAGCAGAAACCAAGGAAACCAGGGCGAGCTCCGCAAAACGTTTGCCCCAGGCCCGTTCCTGCCCCACCGGGTAGAGTTGGGGCCGGTCACACACACACCCTGCAGGCTCAAATTTAGAAATACAAATACGATGATAACCTTTGATGTAAAAACTGTAACACCCACACCCCAAATCTCCGTAGCGGCGAGACGAGAGGCGCTCTGGAGTCTGCGTCCTAATAACGCTAACATTAAAATGTCAATTCATTAAAATGTTAATTGTCTCCAAGGGCCCCAAGGAAGCTGCCAAACGAACTGACTTCAATCCCTGGTGAGACCCCTCTCACTCACTCTGGACTCGGGCCCCGAACCCAGTCACCATTGCTTATTTGGTTCTCAGGAACTTCGTGGGGACTAGCCTCGAAAATCCCACAAAGTGTCCGCCTCGTCGCCCTTCCCAACTGCTCCTGGTCTGCACCTCTCCACTCCAAAGGGGCGGCGGGGTCCGTCCCTCTGTCAGCAGGCCTACACCTAAACATTCTGAAAGCTGGCATTGTTTTTTTTTTTTTTTTGAGATTTTGCTTGCGTCAGGCTTCAGACTGGTGCAAAAACAGCCTCCAAGGGGGGTGGGGGGAGTAGGCGAGAGGAAGCAACTGGTTATTTTAGCTGCCATAAAGTCACATCCCACACAGAGGAAATGAACAATATCAGAAAAACGGATCCTGGCTATCAGACGTCGAGTGTTTCCTGAATTTGTCTGTATTGAGGATGTCGATAAAATAATCAGCAGCGTGCACTACTCCGGGGGAAGGGTCTGCTTCGTGCAGCCAGGAAAACACTTAACAGCTTCAGAAACCAGATTTACTCCTATCGAGAACTCAAGATTTCCTGTATGAACGGAAAGGGTCAGGCTCTTTCAGTGCCCAAGCTTGTTGAACCAAGCCCAGCCCAGGAACCGCCCGGCCCGGCAGCTAGCCCTGCGCTGCGGGGGCCAGGCTCGGGGAGCCCCGACGTCCTCTCCCCGGTGCCGCTCGTTCAGGGGGACCCCCCCCCGCGGGCCGACACGCGCGGCCGGGGCTGCCTTCCACTGCTCTCCCGGGAGCCCCGGGTGTCCCCCGACCACGCTCGCCCCGACGTCTGCAAGGTGCAGCAGGGGAAGCAATCAGAGCCTCCGGGCGTCCCAGCTCCCCGCCGCCGCGCGCCCCGGCCGCCCCCGCCGCCTCCCCCGGCCGCCTTACCCAGAGGGTCGTGGCGGAGCAGGGCGTGCGTGTAGTCGTTCACCGTCCGCGGGAAGGGGTACAGGGGGCCTCCGAAGCCACCGGGGCCGTAGGCGGCGGCCAGCGCGGCGGCGGGGTGATGCGAGAAGGCGGGGTGCACCGGCGTGGGCTCGTACACCGGGGTCCGGTAGGAGGACACGAGGCTGGTGAAGGAGGAGTTGGGGGACGGCAGCGTGGGCGCGGGGGTGGGCGCGGCGGGCCCGCGCCCCAGGATGTCGTCGATGTAGAAGGGCGTCGGGTGAGCGGGCTGCAGCAGCGGCGTGGGCGCGTACAGCGGCACCCCCACGGCGGGCGCGGCCGCGGGCCCCGGGTGCGGGAACTGCATGGCCGCCCCGCCGCGCAGCCCCCCTCGGAGCGAGCTGCCCGCCGGCGCCGCCGCGCTACATTTATCTGCGCCCCGCGCTCCCGGCGATAGGCTCCGGCGGCCGCGGGGTGGGGCGGCGCTCGGGCCCCTTCCTGCCGCCCAGGCCCCGCGGCCAATGGCGCGGGCCGCGGGCTCGCCTCCGCC